CCTTCCCTTCCCTTTTCCTTTTCGCCTTTTATTCACAGCACGTTTTGTTTTCCTTCCAGCGCTAAGGAGAATCTGATAGCGCAGCTGCCAGGACAAAAGTGGCATTTTCCTTGGGAGATGGTGCCACAGAAACAGAATCCCACATTTCTGGGGAGGGCACAGGGGGCTGCCAGAGACACCCCCAGCAGTGGAAGTCCCTTGATGGGCTGATTATTGCTTTGCTGTTCCTCTGATGGACCAGCAGCATCGGGCCAAAGAGCCTCTGCTTGCTGTCCAATTTCTTGGCTTTGGTGGGGTTGTCTCCAGCTGAGAGGCTGAGCTGCACTCCTGGGAAAATCATTATTTCCATGCTTCATGAGGAATTTGAACGGGAGGTTGGGCAGAGGGGGAAGGAGGGGGTTTAAGGCATCACTGAGAGGGATGAGCACCCCTGGAAAGCAGCAGGGAGCAGACTGCCCAGAGCAGCTGTGGCTGCCCCTGGACCCCTGGAAGTGTCCCAGGCCAGGCTGGACAGGGATTGGGGCACCCTGGGATAGTGGAAGGTGACCCTGCCCATGGCAGGGGGTGGGACTGGATGATCTTTAGGACTCATTCCAACCTGGATCATTCCATGAACATCAAACCAAAGCAGAGGGGCTCTGCTCAAACCTTCCTTGCTGGGATTACAGCCAATTTTCAACACCCTGTGCCCCTGGCCATGGGATGTGTCAGGCAGGGGAAAGCTGACTCAAACAATGGGATTTCACAAGATTTCCCCTGCAGAATTCTCAATGAGGTTCCTTGAAGGATCCAGTCCCGAGCCTGAAGATGCTGCCATGAGGCTGCTGGCCAAAAAGTACTCAGCAATGCATACTGAAACCAAAGTTCTGTTTTCCCCGTGTGTTCAGTTTGGCAGGAGCTAAAATTTCAGTACAACACATCCTCAAAACTATCCAGCAATGTAAATGAATGAATCAGCTCCAAAACTGTGGGGAGAGGCCAAGTTGCCATGTGCTGGGTCCTCTCAGCCCATCAGTATCTGTATAATTAACTTTTTTGGAATATTTTTTGTCTATCTCCTCTCAAAAGGAGCAGACCAGGAGCTGTAAGAGATCTGTGTGTGTTTGCAAACCTTACACCTCTGGGCTTAGGGCACCAAGCGATGGTTGGTTGGGTTGGTTTTTGCAGCCCTAATTCTGCAGCCATTTGATGAAAAAGCCCAAGTTTGTGGGGTTTTTAAATACACACAAATATTTTTTATGCTTTGCTGGCTGCAAGGAACAGTTTAGACATGAACATTAAAAGATTTTAAAAAACATCCAATAGAAGAGTAAAACAAAGAGTCAAATAAATTATTATTTACACGACTTTTTTTTCTCCCTGGCAGAAATACTATCAAAAAACACCCCTAACTGGCTGCTAATCAAACTCACAAACTGTGGGCAAGAAAGTCAGCAGAGCTCAGTAATCTGTGATACATTCCAGTTGGTTTTAGTCTTCCTTAAAAAAAAAAAAAAGTTTGTCTGCCTATCAAGTGCTCTCAAATACAGTCTTGAGTGGTCAGCCCCAGGAATGGTGTAAACCAGCCTAAACACACAGCAAAGGGCCTGGAGAAGAGACTGGGGAGTTGGTTGATTAGATTTTGAAAGACTTTTCCACAGTAGAGGTTAAGAAAAATATTCATTTGTCCCAAAGCTCTAGAAAATAGGAAATGGCATTTCCCAGGGACAGCAGTGACCCAGGGTGTCCCATCTCTCCTGGAACTTTTGTAGCTCAGCTGGGAATGCAGCTTTTCTGGCAGAAAACGAGGTAAATAAAGCTTTTTTTTTGCTCTACTAAAGGCACTCAGATTCCAGCACCACTTCTAGAAGGTTAATGTTGGAAGGAGGCACAGCTCAGTGTGGCTGGGAGGAGAGGCCTCATGTTCTGCACATCATGGAATATTTGTTCTGATAATAATTGGGAATATCAATGCCAGCAGCAGTGCCTTTCAGAAATGAATTCTCCAAAATGCCAGAAAAGGCTTGAAATGCTTTTCCAAAACTGCTACCTCACTGAAAGGGCACTTCACTGAAAATAAGTTAAGATGTTAAATTTTCAGATTTAGCTGGAAATATCCAAGATTTGCATCCTCCAAAATGGCTCTACTTCTGCCAGCAAAGAGAGAAAAACAATGTAAACTTGATCCCCATTTTACACCCACCAGCACAGAAAGACACAATCTTAAACATTTTATTTATTACAAAAGATTTTATTGTCGTTATTTACACCCGTTCCTTAAGCGTATAAATGTAAACATTTATTATAGATGTATTTCTCTTATCTTACAGTCCATCCCCTGCTCGGGTTATAGATGGCATTTCTTGAAGCATACAGGTGGTGAGGAGAGCTCAGCTATATTCACAGAATATACACCTGGGAGAGTCCTGAGCCCTAGGCCAGCGGGATGGACACTGTGCCATTGGCTCTGCTCCTGCTCCTCGTGTGGACGCTGGATTCCGTCATGTCCTCGGAGTGATCCTCGCTCTTCTTCTCCTTC